CCCCAAAACCCCAAAACCCCGAATGACTTATTTTTGCCATTGTTTAGATAATATTGAGAATTACATATAAATACATAAATATAGTTATATATAATGGAGAGTCAAATACTAGCCTTGCTTAATCAAAAGTCAGACACTACTAATAAGTATAAAAACAATGTCCAGTTTCCTAAGAAAGCCTTCCCACTTAATAAATCATCTAAGTAGGGACATCTATCTCAATCAATAGATAAGTCTTTAAGTCTTTCCAAGTATGAAAAAGAAGCCTTAATCTCAAACATCAACGAGGTATGATTAATTTCCATTCATTGAGCCAATTTAATTATAAATTAGAACTTTGGACAAATAGAGAAATACTTGCTTCAAGGTGGCAACAAAACTAAGCAGATCCTGCAAGAAGATGAATTGGTTCAACTTATGAATGGATTATTTACAGAGTATAAATTTGATAAAAAATCACATAGCTCTTAAAATTTCTAAAATTTCTATGACAATATGAAGTCTATTATTTAAGACTAGGCCAAAGCACATTCACTCTACTTGATATCATTGATACTTAAGCATAGAATGTATGAGCATTAGAAGTTTAATTTTTATATTTTAGAACTCATGATAGAGTAATGAGGCACTTTAATCTGAACGTGATTGATAAAGAGGGCACTCAATTTCATTTCATTTTCCAATCGATTTACATAATACTTTTAGCCTTATCTAAAAACCCTGAACTTTGTTTGAAACTAAATAGCATACTGCCTAAGAAGGAGATATTGCTATCATGGATTGATGTCTTCACTGAGATTCTATTTATGTACTCTGCTTTCAACCCTGAGTCTAGTTGTATGTCAACTGGTGGAGTGCAGCCATTACTGAATAAGATAAATACCCTGATTGACTAAGATTTAAAAGATCTAAAATTAGCTTAGGAATTGAGTGGCAATATAGAGTGTTTGAGAGAGAATAATGAGATGTTTAGAGCTCTATTGTTTAAGAAATAGCATGGAGATGGAGAGATTATCAGAGAGTAGATCACTATTTGAGAGAAGTCTTAAGGATATCTCCAAGAGGCTTAGCAGAATTAATTAAATGTTTATATTTATTAAGAGTTTAGTTCGATTTCAACTCTAGGGGTTTTGGGGTTTTGGGGCTCGTGGAATAGATCCTTACC